AATTATTTTCTTTAATTATTTCCAAGATAGCAAATGATAACGGAAGTGAATCCCAGTGGAAATAGGAAATGCTTAAGTCATTGAGTAAACAAATTAGTAACAGGCTTCGAACTTGTGTATAATTTATTTGTTTACAAATTATAAAATATTACTAATAGAAAATTGCAAAAACAACAATGATCTTATCAAAAGTCATAAATTAACAACAATGCATATGAAATATGTATCTATCCGTACGTATTTCTATACTTGCTCCACCACAGCGCCAGTTAGCGTAGCGCCAGCGTGAAACTACAGTTCTCCAATACTTACATTGCCTTTAATTAAGTTAATATTTGTTTGTAGTTGAATGGGTTTTTTGTTTGGTTTTTAATTTCTGCCGCAAAAAACAATTATTACATTTTTTCACACCTTCCAGTTGCTTCCGACTGTCGGTAGCCGTCAGCTACTTTAATTTGCCACTTGTGAAATACATAAATGTTAGAATAAAAGAAAATGATATTGGAAAGAAAAAAGGCAGACAGATATGAAAACTATATTACAAAAGAAGCGGGGGAAGGGGGAGCAGGTTAGGCGGGCAGGTAGGAGGACGGCGAGCAGGCAGGCAGACAGACCTTCATGACGATTAGAATGCCAGCCAGTGAAATAATGTCTGTATGTACATATGTATGCTCGTAAGAAAAGGCGCGCACAAGATTACAAACGCAAATATGAATAGTGTTTTTTTTCATCATTTACCGCAATGCAAAAAGCGCCACTTCCGCAACAACGAAAGCTGTGGTGGTTGGTGGTGGGTTGCAAAAAAACAAAGTGCAACAATTATTTTTTGTATGCAAAAAATTTAAATTTGAGGTTGCAGCTAAATCTCGGATATTGATTGATTGTATGTATGTAAATATGTATGTAGGTACATACCGGCGAATATTATTAGCAAACAGCTTAACTATTTTTCGTGGTAAATTCAGTTTTTTTTTCTTCGCTTTTATCGCTCACCATGGCAAAGGTAATTGCAGTTCAATTAAAGTTTTGTAATAACATCATTTGGTTGGTATTTGCTCCTTTTTAAGTGTTTTCTTTTTCAACGCCGCTGCTGCCCACTGACAGGTACATACATAAATACAGATAAATACAGGGTGCTTTAATGTTTATTTTCACTGTTGAGCTTAGGAATCGGCGAGCCACATACATATGTGTGTATATTGTTCAGTGGAAACCAAAATTGTCCAAAAACTAGGGATGTTAATATTTTCGATTTTTGCGATCCCGGGATTTTCCGGATGTCGTTGGATCAATTATTTTTCAATGACTTAACATGAAAAAATTGCATCAATATGGTTTGAGCAGCTCTCCTACCATATAATAAGTAATAAGTAAATGAGTTTGTAAAGTACTTTTTTATTTAAAGTGAAAATTATTTCATAAGTAACAAACGACAGACAGTAATTTAATTTATATGCATTTAATAATACTTTAGTGTGTACATATCTGATAAAGTAATTTAAGGTATGTCGAAAAAAGCTCGATGCAAAAAAAATAAGTCAAAAAATTTATTTTCTGGTTGAAGGAAGTTCATAATTCTAGTGGCAGAAAGTCGACCAGTTTTGTCTATATTCCTTTTGTTTATCTAAAATTTACATTTTTTTATAAAAGTCTACTCCATTCTCTGATGTCATGATTTTTTTAAAAAGACTTTATCAAGCCCTTACCGCCAAAATAACGTTAGTGACATTTTTCTCAAAATTTACGTTATTTTGGCGGTTAGGGCTCGTTATAATTTCACAGATATGGTTAATTCCAAAATTTATTTAAAAAAATTCAGTGCAATGTAAAACAAAAGTATGGGTACCAAATAAAATTACTTTTTTTGGGTTCACGAGGACGAATGTGAATTGAAAATGCCCCTTTAATCTATTTTACTTTTTTAAGCAAATAAAGTTAGTCCTTAACATATAATTTTTTTCAAAAATAAGAATTGAAAAATTTTAAGGATATTCAAGGATAAAATTATAAAAGGGTATTTTCAATACCTACGGACCCTTACAGACCAAAAAATGAAATGTGTTTTAACTCTACAGAATCTACTCTTTCATTTGATATTTACCCACACTGGTTTCTTAAGTATATTGCACTGAAATTTTTAAATAATTTTTTGAATTACTCATTTCTTTCGAATTTCAAAGTTCTTTTTGAAAATACTGATCCCAGATAGAAAAATTACAAACGCAATTTTATTATATTTGGCCCTTGGTTTGGTGAATATATATATATATATATTTTTTTTTTGCAAAATTGCCTGCCGCAAGGTAATATGTGTATATTGAGCTACACATTTATAAAAAAAATCTTAAATATTAAATAAACAAAAGAAATATAGCCAAAATTGGTCAACATAAAGCGCTTATATTATTGCCACCGGTGTAAATTACAAATCCCGAAAATTTGCCTATAATCCCGGGATTTTCGGGACTGAAAAAAGACCGGCACCCCATTCCTAGTCTACGCATAAAGAATCTCTTAATATTTAGCACCGTACATGCAATTATGCAAGATAACTGCCAATTTATAATAAAATCCATTTCGAAAATTTAAAAACAACTTTTTGTAACACCCTTTATATGCCAGTGAAACTTTTAACCAACGATGTTAAAGCTATGTATATAATAAACTGTACATCACTGCATAACGTTTTTTTTTTTGCATTTAAAAAAATGCAATTGTTTTAAGACCAAAGTTATTTTCGTACATTTTATGAGTGGACATGTTGTTTTTGCTGCTATATATATATTTCCAATGTTCAATGAAGCATGTTCGGTAATGTCGAAAAATATTCCCCTTCACTTTGTGTTGGCTATTAAAAAATTCTATTTTTAGAGAAGTTAAATGCAGTCAGCTGTAACGACGAAGAAGAAGTCGAACAACTACTAAAAACACATCCATATCAATGCCATTTTTTTCGACGGTATATTTTTAACTGCAAATTATCGGCGGTGAAATTAAGTAGCAGTTAAAAAGGTAAAAAAAAAAAAGAAACACAAACATAAAAAATTGGTGGGACTCTGTCTTATGCCTGCCCGCGAAGGTCGTAATTGTGTTTTTTTTTTTTTTTTTTTGTAAACCTGCACTTGGTGTTGTTTGACAAACGTATGTACATATACATACTAATGTAAATCACGCTCTATACTAAGAAAAATCGGAATTCTTTCCCCACGCAGATTAAAAAATTTTATCAATTTATTGACTTTCAACAAAATATGTTTGGCTCAATTTAGCGCCCTCTGTGAGTTAAATATGTAAATAGAGTTAAAAATCATATCTGACCTTTGGAAACCCTAGAAAAAGGGTATATGAACATTACATCTTTTTCAAAAGTTAAAATCGCTTAATTAATAGTTTAAACCAAATATTACAACAATTTGGCTGTAAGGCGATCAAATAAGCAGAGGTTTAAAAAAAGGGCTGCCACCTGTTAGGCAGTCAAAATTGATTTAATTAAAAAGTTAAATTATTTAAATTATTTACTTCAAAAATATTTTTAAGACGTTTGTCACCTGTTCTGGACTTCAAAGTCAATTTAATTAACAAGTTAAATAAAATATTTCAATATGGGTCTCAAACAAGAAATGTTTAAGTGCGCTTTATTTCTAAATTGCTTAGGAATGTTTATTAATTAAATATTTTTGAAGGGATTACCACAAGTTTCGGTTAAATTTAATGAGACACATAATAATGCGGGCGTCTAAGGTAAAAAGTTAATTCAAGTTTTTCACTACGCGGGCGGGTCTGCGGGTAAAAGCTAGTAAATATATATTTTGTGGTAGCTGAAATCCTTCATGGGCGTATTCATACACATATCTTGTTACTTTGTTCATGGCCATGAACACAAATATTTCAAATCTTATGCGAATTGTTTATTATTTTTTTTTTGCAGTGGCCAAATAATTAAATTTGGCTAATCAAATCGAATAACTCACCGGATTTGGTTGATTTATAAGACCCTTTGCTGATAATTTATTATTACTTTTAGCTTTACTCACAATCAGTGAAAATTTCAAGGGGTAATAAAATATTCGGTAGCAAGAGTTAACACAAAAAGAATTTCGAGAGGCTCACGCGTATGCCGTTAACTCGGCCAAAATGTATGGCAAAGTGGCAGTATTGTCAATACAGCTACATATAATACAAGCATTATATACGCAGGCTATCAACAAAACATTTTATTGCTTTGTGGTGGTCAAACTGACCGGAAATGAGATCACCTTATGGCGTAGGAGAATCAATACGGTTTCAGATAAGATAAAAAACTATTAAAAGAACAAGTAACTTTTAAGCGAAAAATAAAATCCGTTTCAGTTCTCATATAAAAATTTAATTAACTCATGTTCCAATGATCGGATCTAAACCAAATAAGTATGGGGCCACCTCTGATGTACCACCTTTCCTTAAAAAAAAAAAAAAAAGAATTATAGAAATCGGTTGACGTAGCCCAAATTTATGCGCTAACATACATAAAAAAAAAATATTCCGACGAATTGATAACCTCCTCTTTTTTTTGAAGTCGCTTAATAATAATAAAACATGCTTATACTATGCATACATTTTCACGCATACTAACAGAATTGATAGCTCCATATTCAAATATCAAAATATAAATTTTTTTTTCGCATTAGGGGTATTCAGCAAATTGAGCAAGTTGTCTGGCCATCTGGCAAAACAGCACATTAGCACCTGAAATACAAAAGAAAACCCTAATGTACATCGTCACTGAAATGAAAAAGTGTGTAAATAATAGATTTTTTTTCCATAAAACGATGTGGGCACTTGTAATTCGAGGGAATGCGTCCTAATTAATCAAAAAGTGAATTTTGGAATTTTTGCTAGTGCCGATGTGTAATAGTATATTCTTTTCTATAACTTTTATTATGTTTTTATAAACTTATAATAATAGTTCATTGTGTTTTCACATTATATTAGTATATGTTGATACACATATATGCCCTTACCTGATTAAACTAATTGACCAAGTATTGTGCTTTGGTGGCTTCCATCAACTATTTATTATTGGAATTAACGGTTATAAATAGCATTCAAAAGGGAAAAAGGTCCTGGAATGAGAAGAAAATTAAAATTGATTATTGTACTGGCTACAATAAATAGTAAAAAAATGTAACAATAATATGCTCTATATACACTCCGTGTCATAATTATAAGCACCCCCATATTGACAAGTTTTCACATTTTATTTTTTTTTGTTATTTGATTTTAGTTATTTTTAACTATATACATAGTTTATTCTTTAACAGAAACCATATAAATACAAGGTTCTTGCCATTTTAGGTTCAAAATTATTTCTTGAAATTTTTTAATGCTTCACTTCCTATTTGAAGTTTTCGTTTCTCAATGTGGTCTTTGATAAAATGTTATCGAAAGCCTTGAAGAATTGATGAAATCAGTTCGGAAAAACTGAAACCATTAAATTAATTTGTTTCGACCATTTGAACAAAAATACTAAAAAAATAATAATAAAAAATTTCGAATATTGATAAAATGCTATCGCATATCTTTAGTACCGGCCGAAAAAAAAACCAAAAAAGCTCCAAAAACACGTTTTGGCATCCGAAAAAATCAAAATATTAAATATTTTCCATACCTGTTCCTTTCTGCTATTCACTTAAGTACACTTATTCTCCATTTCAATATAAATAACAATAATTTCTATTAAGTATAATAATCTCTGATTATAAAATATCTCATTGTTTTCACCAAATTAGCTGACAATAAAGGACCACCTTTTGTAATATTTAGTTAGTGAACAATAACAAATGCGCATACACTTTTCTCTATTGACTACAAATATGTATGTAAATAAAACCGTCGTGTATATTCATAAACTTGTAACTAATAATGTTGGAAAATTCCAGTAGTCCAGCAGCAAGCACTGCCCAGCATTAAGTGGAATAGTTTTAGAAAAAATCAAGTTTTAACCGGAAATAATCGGAAATCAAATCGCGTTGTTGGACTGCGCGCGTTGTCATACGCTTGGTTAACTTGTTTGTCGGAAGAGCCTCCAAATGGCGATTGCACAGTGAAACCTATTAAGCGTAGCCCACTCATCTCTATTGCAGCACTTGCCGCATGCCGTATCTAGTAAGTGTGCATTTGTGTATGAGTGTGTGTTCGTGTATACATAAATATCTCACAGCAACGCATCCCGCACTGCATTAATTTGAATAAATTGTAACCGATAGAGTGTTGATCGTGTAATCATGAAATGCAAGTAAGCGTACATTTCAGAGATAAAATACAAATACTATACTACATACACTCTGTGTCATAATTATAAGCGCACCACATATTGCCAAATTATTATTTTTTTTATATACCTACTTTATTCTTTAACAAAGAACGAATAAATCAAAATTTCAAAATTTGTGCAATACTAAAAATAAATGAAACAAACTTTCGCATTAATCTTTTCAATTAGATTTCTTAGAAAGATTTTGGGTATGCAGTTTTGTAGCCAACTCAGTTGTTGGTACAATGAAATGCAAGTATGAAGTACATAGCTCACTTACCGTTGTTTTTTGGCTTTGTTTTTGTTGAAGGTGTTGCTCATTATTGCTCCATATAAAAAATCATCGAGCATTCTTCGTATAGAAAAAAATGACTGACACTGTCAAAAAAAAAAAAAATTAAAAAATCAATGGTAAGTCCTACCTAATTCATACTAGCACTTTATTATACTCAAATTTTGTGGGCTACAAAACTACATACCCAGTTTTATAAGAAATCTAATTAAGATGCTCTAAATTTTTACGAATATTTGTTGATTTTTTTTTTTAAATATTGAACAAATTTTGAAACGTGATTTTATTCGATCTTTGTTAATGAATAAACCATATTTTTATAAAAACAAAATAACTAAAATTAAATAACCAAAAATATAAAGTTTTAAAAGTTGTCAATATTTGGTGCGCTTATAATTATGATACGGGGTGTAGTTACTTAATTCAGTAGTGTTATCGATTGACGGCGGCAGTGTGATGCTGACTTTTAACCATTTACATACATATTATCTTATTACACGACAATCGATCACTTAGTCATTTACTCCCTGGATGTTGTGCCGGCTGGTAGCGAGCGACTTCTTCAAATCAATGAACTGGAATGATCACGTGAACGGTGAATTAAATTATTGTTGCACACAAGATGTGTATGTACATATGTTTGCATGAATGTATGCATGTGTAAGCTTTTAATTAATCTGTATAATACATATAGATAAATCATTGCGGTAAACTATTTGCTCATTGTGTAAGTAAAAAAAAAAACCATTAGAGAACCAACTTTAATGAAAAAGGGCAAGCCGCATACTCAATTGCGATAAAGTGTTGACTTGACGAGTGCATGCACATGTATACGTATGTAAATTGTACATAAATATGTACATACATACATATGTACATGCACTAGTAATGCGCTCATTGGCTGCGATCGTGTATGCCGCCTGTAATGTTGTCTTAACGCCAGTTAATTGAAATTAATCTAATAAAGTGTTGCTGTTAATTTATTAGCGACGATAAGCTAAATAATCAAGTCGAGGAAAAGTTCTTCAATTGTTGGCAACCGCTCGCATATAAAACTGAAGCGTAATAAGATATGGAAAAATATATAGCAAACATTGGTTTTGTGCCGATTTTGACAACTCAACTAAAAGTAAAAAAAAAAACGCCGCAGAAACTTTAAGGGCCTTTTTATCGATGGCATTGCCTGTTATAACGGTCCTAAATGCACTGAAATTCACTAATACTTTTACAAAAATCACACTTTTTAATTTTTTTTGTTAATTCGTTTTATAAAATTGACTGTTTTGAAAGTTGCTTTTATTCTCCTATTCGGTTGTGTTTACTTTTACTGGAGAAATGTCATCGCCGTCAGGACGACGCAATCTTGTATTCTATCATTCCATCATTGGAGCAAGTACATATGCCTTTTTAATGGCCTTAATTTTAAAAGTGATACCGTTTAGTAATGATAAACAGAATTGGTTTTTGCAAAAGTTTCAAGAATTTCTGATAGATCTGTGGGGATGCATTTTTCGTAATTTGACTTTGACTCTTTTATTAAACTAGAGTTTGTAAATTTAATTAAAAATTTCTGAATTTTGATTCTAACAATAAGCTTTTTCTCTCGGAGCTTTGGCCTTTGCCTTTAATACTTGTTTAATACTTTTTAGCTACATAAAGGCATAAAAACATGCATACATATTGGATGTACGTATATATACGCGTGTATATATGCAAATATGTATTTGTTTTAGGAAATACATATTGCATATTAAAATTAATTGATTCGCTGGCAATTTCAATAAGCATAAGATTTGTAGAGTCGCAATTTCAGCCAATAATTTAACTATACTTTTTCTCTCGCCACACAAATATGCAATTAATTGAAATTATTTGCAAAAATTGGCTTAGCTGAAAACCAATCAAATTGTGTTTCTTTTCAATTTTTTTTTAAATAACCATGCACATATCCGCAATGGATTTGAATTATTGGCAAAGCGCCTTAAGTTAATTAACCAACAATCAATTAGAATTCAATCGAGTTTGTGCTGAGCAATGAAATCATTAAGTGTGCAAGTAATGCAAATTTATATTTTCCTAATAAACAAGCAAATTATTACTGAGTACTACATTTTGAAGTGTAGTATTATTAAGGATGTGCTTATTGTGGTTGAGAATGTTACTACAATATCAGGGCAAACCAAACAATATATTAATAATTTTATTGTAATGCAATACCTAATTGTAGATTTTAATCATTTTTTAATACTAAAGATTTTATATCAGTCCCCACATTGCATTTTTTGGGGGTTTTTGGCGGGCCTATAAAATGTTGTTACTATAAAAAAATGGTTAAATAAACAATTGAGTATTACTATTGGGAATCTTCTGAAGATAAACAGAGTTTTTCGATCGAAAAATATTGATTTTCAAGAATTCTATACCATTTCTAAGAAAAGTCGTCTTTTTCCCACATAAAATACATGGAAAACTTTGAGCGCTTTGAGCGAGGGGTCTATTTTTTTTGGTATAGAACAATCCTAGCGGTTGAGAGCATAAAAATACCGACTTTACTTATTCACATGAATTTTTGGACCACCGTAATAGATATACAGAAAAATCCTAAATAGTTTACTTGCTGCTTTTTTTAGAATAATAAAACACTTAATCTGAACCCGTAACTGCCTCGTTACTACGTAAGCCTCGTAAATTTACTTAATGTTGTATGGAAAAACGGTTTATTTACGAAGTTTATGGTAAAGACAATTCGATTTATTTTTTGTTTCATTTTTTTTCGAAAAATTTAAATGTTGTAAATATGAACTCGACACTTATTATAAATCCACTTATTTCTTTCTGTTGCCTTTAAATCACATTAAACTGCCAATTTTTTAATTTGAAAATAGCTCGTAAACTTGAAAATTTGTCATTCACAATAAATATCATTCACAAATGCAATTAAGAATATTCCTAATACGGCTGTATGTATATAATGACATAAAGCATTTGTGATAAATCATTTAATGGGAACCAGCCAATATTAAAAAAAAAATGTTCGAAAATACTAATAAAAAACGAATTTAAGTCTTATTTGCAACCAACAAATAAAAAATCGGGATCTTTTGCAAATGTCAACTAGACTTACATATTTACTTAATGTGAGAAAACGAATTTCTCTTAAAAATATTCTGTGAACTCTACAATATTGCGCAAAAACAAGTAAACTTGAAAAAAGATATAAAAAAAAGTTAATTGAAAAATTTTGTTCACCAAATTTTTGGCGAATGTAATTAAATTGCTGAGGAGCAAATTTTAGCGTGATTATCCATAAATTTTATTAAGAAAGCAATCAATCAATACATTATGAAAAGAAATAAAATACCAAAAATTACATACATTTACATTTAAATCTGCAGTCAAAGAAAATACTTTGCCATATCATAGTCAACGCAAATTAGCAAATCATTGTCTTCATTTTGAAGCGATTTTGTTTGCGTCATTAGTTTTAAGTATCCACTTATTTTTAATATTCACAGTAC